TCCAAGGTCATAGATCGGAATTCGTTTTTGGTTAATTCGTAAGTGAAATCGGACAAAAATAGGATGGACCTATTCATAATATAGTGTATACGATGTTAACGAGTATAACTTGAAGCGCTTCAGGCGATTACAGAAATAATTTATTCAAAAAGTCATGGACGTTCTCAGATTTATGTAATGTATAGTAATAATAATTTTTATTCTCATTTTGAGAAAAGTGCCACCATCACAACATATTATAAAACAAAGCCCTCCATCACGTCTGCCTGACAAGTCTAAATTAAAAAAAACAGAAAGGATTTTTATACGGTATTTCAAAATATTTTTTTTCTGTATTGAATTTGTTGAAATATTATGATGCTATCCGTGAAAGTGGTGGCGAAGGTCCTACCGGTGGGAAGCCAGAAAGGTTTCATTGAAAACGAATACAAATCAGAATCGTCAAACCATTATGAAATCAATAAATGATGCTGATAAACATGCAATAAGGAGGAAAGTGCATGAGTACTTTTTCAGAAATGAAATACCCACGATAGACAAAGTACTCACAGAAATNACCCCCGTTGGTCTTGAATACGACCCTGGCCAATTCTTGTGATTTTCAATATGACGTGCGTAGGGCATGTCACTTCCACTCTATCTTGGATTTGAATTGCTTTAGTGAAATACAAATTGTCTCCAACTGGTGTGTGTATCCAATTCCTTTCTTGTCACTGCATCCTAAAAGACTCCTGTGTAACTAGATACTCAATTCATCATCACTATCTGAAATTTCTTTTCGAAACACCTTTTGATAACTTCGCTCTATCATCTCAAACTTCCAATGGAGACTTGATGTGACACAAACTGTATCCTTGAGTCCTGAAGCCGGCTCTGCGTGAAAAACCTCGCAACGCCCATAAAAAAACCCTCCAGGTGGAAACACACGTGCGTGTCCCTACGGCCCGTCCCGATCGCGGTACAACCTTTCTGGAGATTCACCCGGTACGTGCTGAAGGTCAATGCCACCTATTGCGAGTTCATCATTACAGTAAACCGAACGGTTTTACTTTTTAAATGCTTTGCGATCGAGCACAAGAATAGGAAAAAGAAAGTGGACGTCATCGTCGCTGTGACAAAGATGGAACGTCGAGAAAGTGAATGAATGCCAGCACGGAATCTTCCGGCAAATAATCAATGCGTTCGAGTTCTTTTTATTCTAAAGAAAACACTGTCTCGACGCATGTTTCGCTAACTAAGTCAACATCCTCAGGAGGTGGTAAAGACTGAATTTCACATCCAAGTTAGACCTATTTATACTACAAGGGCTGAAAAGTCTCGGGCTAACACATAGATGGCGCTAGTCTTATTGAATTAACCGCTTTTTCAGTTGGTACTGATAGGCTTGTGAGTAATTGTGCTAAGAATGACACCACTTTTGTTATTTTCAAAACAATGGATCAAAAACAATCTCATGTTTTAATTTTACACTGCTTTTTGATGGGAAAAAATGACGTTCAAGCAAAGCAATGGCTTGAAATGTGTTATAAGGACTCCACTTCATCAGAAACAACAAATAAACGTTGGTTTGCTGACTTCAAACGTGGTCATAAAGACACCGATGATGCAGAACACAGTGGACGTTCAAATGAGGCAGTAACACCAGAAAACATAAAAAAATCCACAATATCGTTTTGAATGATCGAAGAGTGAAGTTGTGTGAGTAAGCTGACATTGTGAAGATATAAAAAGAACGTATTGGCTTTATATAGCATGAGCATTTGACTATAAAAAAGCTCTGTTCAAAATGGGTGCCGCGCGAGCTCACTGTTGACCAAAAACAAGAACTTCACTAGTTCGGACTTCCATTGTCTAATATATAAAATGATTTGAAATCCCTGAAACAACTAAAAAAGGAGAATTAAAAATGAATAGCTGAAATTAACAATTAATTGTTATTATAT